ATAACGAAACTACCTAGAAATAAAAAAATTAAAACTTTATTTATATTGAATAGATTTTTGATTTTTCATATTTCAAAGAAGTTTATCTTTAAACTCGCACAAATCAAAGGCGTCATAGTGTTGATTCCAAGGTTTTTTTTTCTATCATTGAAAACGAGACATCAGCACTTTTTAAAAGATTTTCCTTGCGCTCAGTGAGAGGTCTCTTTCTCTTTCACTTTGTTCGCTTTGACTGCAGAGACCTCCCCGGCTTTTGCTTCTTTTTTCAAACTCCTCTGCCAAAGAGGAAGCGTCGAGGTTCTCGCTTTCCATTCCAAGAAACCTTGTGTGTATATAAAACTGGTCTCGCGGATAAATGGTGGTTCACCATTACTGGATAACGAGGCCTCTGCCTCTATGTCTTTTCACTATATAGACTTCCAAGTGAATAGTATATTTACTTCGTTATATATATATATATATATATATATATATATTTCTATTTCCAACGAATCTAACTTACTACATTCGTTATGTTCATTATAAAATTGGCGAATTTAACAATATCATCATTTATTATTATTTTCTAATAGTATATACATATATGCAGTAGTTTTATGATACATCGAAAATTCGTTTTCAAATTATTAAGCCCTCCCCTTTCTCGCCTCACTTTGAGCTCAATCCGTTTTGACCTAGATAGCAGATATTTGGTACACATTTATATTTTTGCTTATGTAGATAACAGAAATCATTTTGCGAACCTGATTGGAAATTGATTTTAATTAATTAGCGTTTTCATTACATAAATTCGGAATTGTTTCCCTTCCTTTAAATTTGACTCTTTTTATCATAAAGAGTTGAAATTTGGTATATACAAACATATAGTTTCGTGTAGATTATGGAAAAAATTATAAATTACCTATACCTTCCTTTTTAAACCCAATTTGTTTTGACCTAGTTATCTTAAATTTGGTACAAAATTGTATTTTTCCGTAATCTACTCTCTAAAAAATCGGTAATTTAAATTTGAATTGATTAAAATTTCTACTAATTCAATTTTAAAGAGTAGCGGCAAACTTACTTATAATTGATTTTAATAGTTATCAATAATAAATTTTAAATATGTAACATCAAAAAAATATCGATAAGGTCTCGTAAAATAATTTAAACATCTTTTTCTTTTTTTAAAAAAAGTCATTTATTCGAAAAAAAAAACTTTCCTAATATTTTCTCTTCCTCCATACCCCAGAAGCACACATTGGCAAATATATTTTCCACGGTAAAAAAATCGTTAACTATATTGTCCTCGCTGTTATCTGATAAGTCGTCTCTTCGGGTTGCCTTTTATTTTCTTTCCCCTCAGTCGGTTGCATTTGCAGGGTCATTTTCCCGTCTCAATGGCTCGAGTAATTTCAGTAGTTTAACGCGATGGAACTTGAGAACGTCATTGATGTATGTCTTACTTTCATCCACATCCTCTATCGTGCGCGCATTCAGGAAGTTAAAAAAAAAAAAAAAAGGAGAAAGAAACGAAGGAGTTGAGGTAATGGGGCAAAAGAGAGGCGTCGAGAGGGCAGAGAGGTAATTGAGAAAAGGAGATTTACTTCGACTTGGAGCTCAACAGCCGCTATCGAGAGTAAGGGAATGGGATGGAAAGAGAGGGTGGAATTTTATTGGCGCATCGAAGGGGTAACGGAAGACTACGAACTACCGACTTCACGACGACGAAGACGACGACGACGACGGATATCGAGCACTTTGCAACGAATAAGAGAAATCGATATATCGAAATCAGAAACCGGAACTTTAACGCTCTCCAATTCTCGGATATATACAGTTAACTTTCGTCCCTGGTAGATTTATTAAATTACAAGATGTTTACTTTATTTCTTGAGCAGCTATTTTTCTTCTCTCTCTCTATATATAGACCATTTCTCTTTCAATTTCAATCAAAAGAAATATATTTTTTTTTTCAAAAAATATCAAAAAAGAAAGTGATTATTGAAAAATATATTTTATTGCAATAAAAAATAAGAAAAAAAATTCAACTAATATAAATGAGAGAAAAAGTATTTTTAGTTAGATCTCTCTGACTGTAGTTGGAATAATGTTTGGCAAACACGAAAAAGTCATTTCATTTAATCGAGATAGAAAAAAAATTCCCGAGAGCGAAAAGTTACGCCCCTGACGTGCGATTTCTCCCTGAGGGTAAATCCGTTCTGGTTCGGTGACGAGACAAGACACAACGAATCGAGAGACGCGGAAAACAAGTTTTGCTGGATTAGTAAATTACACTTGGGAAATACTGCTGCTGCTGCTGCTACTACTGCTACTGAGGGAGGGAAAAAAAAAATTACGCTTCAAATGTTTCAAAAAATTCAAATCAAATCATTTTTCATTTTCAAGTGGGATGTATCAAAGACACTTTTACGATATTAATATTGGATATATTATACTGTTACGTAATTTCTTGTTAATTAAATATAATTTACAATTATTATTTTTTTTCCAATTATAATAATAGGATGATATTTATTATAAAAAAATACTTTCTAAATTTGAATTAGTGAAAATTTTTACTCATTTTTTTTTTAGTTATTTTTCACCATTTAAATCTAAGATTAAAATATCTCTAAATATGAATTTAGTGAAATTTTGCTAATTGTTAATAAAAATTACTAATAATTAGTAAAATTTTACTAAATTCAGAAGGAAAAAATGAGTCACTAATTCAAATTAGTAAACATTTTTACTAATTTAGATTTAGAGAGTATACAAGTATTTGTAATGTCTGACTTAAAACGGCCTTTTACTACTTCTACGAATAATAATTGACGTTACAAAAATTGTAGACATGGAAAACGTATGTCTGACTGAAATTGATTTACACTACTGATAAAAAATTAACTGAATATTTGAACAGTCTAACTAAAACTCACTGCTGCTACTGATTCGAAAAATTACATATAGAATTAAAAATATTTCGTCTAACTGCAATTGATTTTCACTACTAGTACAGAAAAAAATGAACAATCTCTTTAAAAATTTACTTTTACTATTGATAAAAAAAAATTAAAAGGTTTCTAATTCTAATTTATTCAAAAAAGAACTTTATAGTATTTTATATTTAAATTAAGTATATAATATTCTTAAAATTCGAATACAACATACTGAATTTAAGTATATAAAATATGTTCCAACTGTATAATTTAAATTTCATAATATTTTAATTTTTAATTAACACACCGCCTTGAAAATACAGCATATATATTCATAGTCTTTGACTTAATATCAAAAGTAGAAACATTAAATTGTTGTAATAGAATGAAATTTTGTATGGATATCATTATATGTATATATATATATATTATAAAGGTGGGAATGAATTTGCACGCACCTAAATAATATGGAAAATATTTCTCTTCGTTAGAATGAATTATGCCGAGTGGACTATGTTTACATTTAATGCATGCGGGCAATTACGGCCGATTAGAAGCAGAGCTGATAACAAATCACTTAATGCTCAGTTCTGTCCATGTTAACGCCCACGTAACGGCAACGTGCCAAATCGACCTAGATATATCATTCTGACAGATGGCAGAAATGCACACTGTTTCACATGAATGTTTAGGGAAACGCTACCACATTCATGACAACCGGATGAGCAAGTGATTTTGCGTAAACGCAAGGGAGACACGCTTGTCGTAGCTAATAATTGTCTATTTCTCTATCAAAAGTCATATGCGCCCTATATATATGGGGGTATTTCACGTCAAGTCATCAAGATCGTAAAAAAAAAATCATTTCTTTCCAATTGCGCTTATGAGAAAAATATTTCGTCTCAGCAACCAAAATTTAGTTGGACCAACAAATTAATTTCTTTTAGTATTTAAGCAACCAAACTATTTGCTTGAATCGACCAATTACTATTTACTTGAATCAGCTAAACTGTTTGTTTGAATCAACCATACTATTTGCTTGAATCAACCAAACTATTTACTTGAATCAGCTAAACTGTTTATTTGAATCAACCATACTATTTGCTTGAATCAGCCAAACTATTTACTTGAATCAGCTAAACTGTTTGTTTGAATCAACCATACTATTTGCTTGAATCAACCAAACTATTTACTTGAATCAGCTAAACTGTTTGTTTGAATCAACCATACTATTTGCTTGAATCAACCAAACTATTTACTTGAATCAGCTAAACTGTTTGTTTGAATCAACCATACTATTTGCTTGAATCAACCAAACTATTTACTTGAATCAGCTAAACTGTTTGTTTGAATCAACCATACTATTTGCTTGAATCAACCAAACTATTTACTTGAATCAGCTAAACTGTTTGTTTGAATCAACCATACTATTTGCTTGAATCAACCAAACTATTTACTTGAATTAGCTAAACTGTTTGTTTGAATCAACCATACTATTTGCTTGAATCAACCAAACTATTTACTTGAATCAGCTAAACTGTTTGTTTGAATCAACCAAACTATTTACTTGAATTAGCTAAACTGTTTGTTTGAATCAACCATATTATTTGCTTGAATCAACAAAACTATTTACTTGAATTAGCTAAACTGTTTGTTTGAATCAACCATATTATTTGCTTGAATCAACCAAACTATTTACTTGAATTAGCTAAACTGTTTGTTAATATCAACCAAACTATTTACTTGAATTAGCTAAACTGTTTGTTTGAATCAACCATATTATTTGCTTGAATCAACAAAACTATTTACTTCAATCAACCAAACTATTTGGTTGGATTTTTTTTTGTTGGTATAACAAAATTATTTGTTTTAAAAAGTGTTAAATGTTCTTTTTGGCGATTTATTAATGAAAAAATATATCATTATTTTATATGTGTAATAATATGAATTGAAAAAGAAAATGAATTTTTCCCTTGGGCATATGAATATATTATCTATATTTTTTTTCAAAATATTCGATTTGATAATATTGTCAAGTGAATTTTTATTTTTAAAAAATGGTAAATTCTCGTGTTACAGAGAAACTCAATATCGCCGGTAGATCGTGAAAAGTACAGCAGACCAAGAAGTACACCAGATTCCCAGCATCATGACCACATTACGTTAAAAAAGATGAAGAAAGAACAGGACAAGGACACTGGCCACGTAAGTCTTTTAATTTTATTTTATTCCAATGGGGGTATATTTATATCTAAACGATATAACATGTTATATAATATTATATATCAATAATATTAATAAATTATATTTTATATTTAAAAGAAATTTAAAAATTATTATTAAATATTAACGAATATAAAAAATATCAATAAAAAAATATAAAAATAAAAAAAAATATAACAATTATAAGATAAAATTCGAAAATATTAAAAAAAAAAATTTAATAAAAAATTAAAAATTCTAGTGATTTAATAAAAAATGATTTTTTTTTTTTTTAGCAAAGTGATGGTGAAAAGAGTGATCAAGACTTGGTTGTTGATGACGCAAGCGAAGAACCAAACAGTCCTGCCGCTAATGGAACATCATCGCCGAGGGAAAATGGTCTCGATAAACATGGTCCCTCGAATGTTCCCATGAACAATCAAGTTAAAAAAGAAGTTCCACCACCATCGCCACGAAGTGGTACCAGCAGTAATGCAAGTACACCATCAGCAAAAAAAATGGAGGAACGAGAAAAACCATCGACACCAATTTCAAAACCAGTCACACCAACATCCGCAGGTAATTTTTTTCCTTTCAATTCAAAATTTAATTTCAAAAAGATAAAAAAAGAAAAGTTAACTATTTCTTTTTTAAAAAAAAATATATTTATATCTTTTAAAATATAATAAAAAAAAATTATTTTCGTTTCAGTATTATTTTGACAAGAAAATATTTCCTAACAATTCTTAATTTTGTACAACCGGTGTTAATGTTTTTTTTTTTATACAACAATTAAAATTGAAAATACTATTTTTTACAACTGAAAAATAATAAGTTAATTGTGGCGAATAATTAATCAAAATAATCCCATAAAAATCATTAGTTAGATTTTTATTATTATTATTATTATTATTTTCTTTTTATCATTAGTATTCTATTAGATAGGTATAATTATTTTTTAAACAAATTTTTACCTTACAGAATTTTTAAGTATCAAATTTTTATTTGGCAAAATTTTTATTTTAAAAAATTCTAATTTAACGGAATTCTATAATTTATTATAATTCTCATTCAATATTATTTAATTATTATTTATTTGAATTATAATAATTAACATTTTTTTTAAATAATTTATTTAAGTGAATTTTTTTAAATATCAGAAATTTCAATTCACCGAATCTTCATTTATTCAAAATTTTTATTTGCACAAATTGTTGTTTGATACAATTTTGAAAACGCTAAATTTTTATTTATCCGAAATTAAATAATAATACCAACCGAATAAAAAGAAAAAAAGACACAAATACTTCGGTGCGATTTTGAAAATTGAATTTTGATTTTAAAAATCATGATTAGTAAATTTTAAAAATCGCGCTAAAATCTTTTTGTCGATTTTTTATTCAATCGATTTTATTGTTTATAATTTTGGATAAAATAGAAATTTGTCGTTTTAAAAAAACAAATGAAGATTCGCGGTGAATTGGAATTTTTTTTCCAATTAAAAATTCAAATCATTTAAAATTTATACTGTTGCGAATGAGAATTATGCTAAATTAGAATTCGGTTGAATTAGAATTCGATTGAATTAGAATTTCTTTTAAAATAAAAAGTTGGATAAATAAAAATTCGATATCTAAAAATTTCGTTAAGTAACACGAAAATTTGAACTCTAATGATGTTTCTGCTATAATTATGCGCCCCAGTTAATTTATTCTTAAAAATAAAAATAAAAATAAAAATAAAAATAAAAAAATAGTACAGAAAACAACATTTTGAATTTCATATTCATACAAAATTATCACCGATTGTACAATATAATAACTAATGTTACAAAATTATTTTTTTTCTCAAAATAATACCGACCCTTTATTTTTCTAATTTATCTTTTTCAAAAAAAAAAAAGAGAAAAAAATTGAGTTGAAAGAAATCAAATTTTAAAGAACATATATTTAGATGTATAATATTATTTGAATGAGACTTGATTATAATTTGGCAATTGATTGATCTATCTAACGATAGATATGTTTTCAGGTGGAAGTAGTTCCGGTTCAGGTGGTATGAAACCATCGAGTTCGAGTAAACCAATGGTGCCGGCATCGCCAGTGGGTCCTTATCCGTCGCATTATCCACCACAACATCATCCACCCACAGGACCGCATGTAGATATGCTGGGTTATCCGGCGGGAGCTCTCAATGGATTCCCGGCAAGGCCACCGCTTCAGCAACTCTATGATCCTCATGGAGGAATGAGAGCACCCCTCGGTCCACTTGGAGTGCCCGGTGGTAAACCGTAAGTACACACTTCAATCCAACAAACGATTTCTTCCAATTTATAGTCGAGATCTATACATAATATAATAGTAAAGATGCATTACGCTTTTTCAATCACTATAATATTTAGTGCAATTTTTGTTTAAAAAAAAAAAAAGATTTAAATTGTTCATAAAGCTTTTTGCCTAAAAATATTGGAATTCTTCAATTTTTTTTTGGGACGCGTGAATAAGTTCTAAAAATCGTTAGAATTTTCATTTAACAGAATAATTAGATAATTTTCATTTGTTCGAATCAGAGTTTTCATTAAACCCGATTTTCTATATTAGAGAATTTTTATATATAACCCAAAATTCACTTTACAGAATTTTTATTTGTTCGAATTTTCATTTGTCAGAATTTTTATTTTCTCGAATTAAAGTTGATTTTACAACTGATAGTAAAAATAATAAAAAAAAACAAAAGGAAAAAATAATTTTTTAAAAACAAATTAAATTGATAGATAAAAAAATTTTTCCCCAACAAATTAAACATAAAGTAGCTAAAAGCACATAAATCTTCTTTATCAACTTATATATAATTTAAAATCTATAGATTTAAAATTTTGCTTAGTTGGTAAAATTTATTCCATTTTGTTTGTTTTCATTTTTCTTGACGTCATTTGCCTACAGTTTTTCCCAACTCAGATTATTGTATATTTGTATTAGTCGTATATATTTTAATATATATATATATATACATTATAATATGATATTTATAGAATTTCTTGATTTCGACTCTCATAATATTTTTCCAGTTTAAAATAAAATCTCTTACAATAAGTCATCATGTTACTCGACTTTTAATTTTGAAAAAGTAAAAAAAAAAGTGTGTTTTAATATTAAAAAAATTGTGGATGTTTTAATAAATACAGGGACGTATTTATGGTAGTGTAAATTTTATAAAATAGAAAAAAAACATGAGGACCAGGAAAGATGTATTTATGAGAGCAAGAGAACAAATAAACACGAGATTAAAAAAACGACTTTACAAGAGAATGTAATGAAAATTTTCATTTGGATTTAATTATTATTTTTGTTAATATAACTTTTTTTAACTGTATTTCTTTTCAAATATATTCGCTTTCAATTTCATTTTTGTAGATGTAAATCCTAACCTTTTTTTTTTGAGAAATTTTTGATAGTGTTAAATCGAAATTATGTGTTTCTATTTTTAAATTTTATTCAATGTATAAAAAATTGAAATTTAATTATTATTAATATTATTATTATTTTCAATTATTAAATTTAATTAAATAACTTTTGTTAAATTGAAATTTGTTTTTGAAATTAAAATAGAAATTTTGATAAATGAATATTCACTGAACTAAACAACCTGTTGTTATACAAAAGTTTAATAGAAATTCTATTATATAGTAAAAATTCAATTAAAAAACCAAAATCCATTTATTTTCTTTTTGGTTTAAGCACATTTTTTTTTTTTGCTAAATTTTGAGATTTATGTTTATAATGCTATTGAAATTGATTTTTAATCAAGTTTGCAATATTATTTCTGTTTATTTAACAAAAAATTTACTAGTTTTGAAAAATCTAAAATACTTATGTAAAAAATTGTTAAATTTAAGGAAAAAAAATTTTTTTTTTGATAAATTTTCTAGTTCTTGATTATATAATAATATTAAAATTAATTACAATTAGAATTGCAATATTTTTTCTGTAATTTACTCGTGAATATACACTAGTTTAGAAAATTTTAACTGATTAGGTTAAAAATTTTTAAATTTAAGAAAAAAAACATTTTTTGGGTAAATTTAAAAAAATTTTTTTTCCTAACTTTATTAAAATTTATTTCAATCAAGATTGCAATGTTTTCCCTCTAATCTAAACATAAAAATTTAATAGTTTACAAAATTTTAACTGATCAGGTTAAAAATTCTTGAAATTTAATGTGACTAAATTAATTTTTTTAAAATTTATAGACAAAAAAGTTGTTTTTTTCTTTAAATTTGACAATTTTTTTTTTTGAAGGAATTAAAATTTTCTATGTAATGTATTTTTATAAGCAGATTACAGGAAAAATATTCCAAACCTAATTATAATTAATTTCAATAGTGTTATACAAACGAAAACCACAAAATTTACCCAAAAAAAAAGATTATTTACTTAACAATTTTTGTCTGAAACATTTAAAATTGTGAAAACTAGTAAATTTTTTTATAATTAAATAGATAAAAGAAAAAATTTTACAAACTCGATTGGAAATAATTTTAAAATTATCAGTGAAAATTTTTAAAATTTGCCCGAAATTTTTTTTTCGTTTCAAAATACAATTACAATTTTTTCTCTAAACAGTTAAAATCTTTTAAACTAGTAAATTTGTTATTAGTTGATTATGAAAAAATTATTGTTAACTTGATTGGAATATTTTTAACAGTTTCATAAACAAAAACTTTAAAATTTATTTTCACAGAAAGGTAAAATTTTCCTTAAATTTCATGTGTCTTGCAGTTCTGAACTTTCAAAATAAAGGCAATAATAATATTTTTTTCGGGTAATTTTTGAGGTTATTACTAGTTTATTAAATTTTAACTGTTTATATTAGATTTAGACTTTTTTAGATGAATTTTCATTTTTCGAATTAACATTTGTTAGAATTTATTTTTTTTTGAAGAATTTTTAATTAACAGAATTTTTAGGCACCGAATTTTTATTTATCCAAAATTATACAAATGGCCAAACAAATAATTAACAGAAAAATTTCGGCGCAATTTTTAAAATCCACCAATTACAATATTTTCTTGACAACTTTTGATTAGTGGATTTTAAATACCGCGCCGAAATCGATTGGTTATTCTGCCATTTGCGCAATTACGGACAAATAAAAATTCGGAGCATAAGAATTCTATTAAGTAAAAATTTGTTTAAAAAGAAATTCTGTCAAATGCTAACATAGAAAATTAAAAGGCATTAAAATAAGCTGCAACGCTTATTATTTTAATCCAATTTCGCTTATTTTAATCCATTTTGGTATTAAAATAAGCAAAATTGGATTAAAATAATAAGCGTTGCAGCTTATTTTAATTCCTTTTAATTTTCTATAAATTCAAAATATAAAAATTCGCCTATAGAATAATTATATTTAATAAAATTCTTTAAAATTAAAATTTTAACTAATAATTTTTATGGGATAATCATGCACCCCATATATATTTTTGGGTGAATTTTTGACGTTCACAAAGAAAAATGCACTACTATATAAAAATTTTAGTTTTATAAATAAACAACTGTAAAAATTAATGGATAAGTATACTAAATCTGAACGGAGAAAAACTGCGATTTTAATAAAATTATTATTAAAATCGCACTTTCTGTCCGTTCCAATTTAGTATATTCATTAATTTTTACAGAATAATGATTTTAAAAATTTATTATGTTGTAAAATTTTGCATCTGTATATTTTTTTCATACCTAAAATTTCTAAATAGAATAATAAAAATATGAAAATGGAAAACATAAACTATAATGTATATGATTTTGTTTGCAGAGCCTACAGCTTCCATGTTTCAAGTGAAGGTCAAATGCAACCCGTGCCTTTCCCACCTGATGCGTTAATCGGCGCCGGCATTCCACGGCACGCTCGTCAGATCAACACCTTGACCCATGGCGAGGTTGTTTGTGCAGTGACAATTTCAAATCCAACAAAATACGTTTACACTGGTGGTAAGGGATGCGTGAAAGTCTGGGACATTAGTCAAGGTGGAAGCAGTAGTGCAAAACCAGTATCACAATTGGATTGTCTACAACGTGACAATTATATTAGATCGGTGAAACTTTTGCCCGATGGCAGAACACTTATTGTTGGTGGTGAGGCGAGTAATCTTAGTATTTGGGATTTGGCGAGTCCCACGCCACGAATAAAAGCCGAATTAACATCATCAGCGCCAGCGTGTTATGCCCTGGCAATATCGCCTGACTCAAAGGTATGCTTCAGTTGTTGTAGCGATGGTAACATTGCCGTTTGGGATCTTCAGAATCAAACTCTTGTCAGACAATTTCAAGGCCATACGGACGGTGCATCGTGCATCGATATATCGGCGTGTGGCTCAAAATTGTGGACAGGCGGTTTAGATAATACTGTTAGATCATGGGATCTTCGTGAGGGTAGACAATTGCAGCAGCATGATTTTACCTCACAAATATTCTCACTTGGCTATTGTCCATCTGGTGAATGGCTCGCGGTGGGAATGGAAAATTCAAATGTTGAAGTACTTCACGCCACGAAACCTGACAAATATCAATTACATTTGCACGAGTCTTGTGTTTTGTCATTGCGCTTTGCTTCCTGTGGCAAATGGTTCGTGTCCACCGGAAAGGATAATCTACTTAACGCCTGGCGTACACCTTATGGGGCTTCGATATTCCAGGTGTGTATATTTATAATATTTATTTCTTTTTCTTTCGAAACAGGTCATTTTCGAGGGAGAGAGACAGTTTTTTTTTAAGTAAATGGGGGGCATTTCTAATCATTAGTTGTATTTTTCATTTTAAAAAATTCTATTATTAGTTTTTAAACGAATTTTCAATTTCCAAATTAGGCATTCGACAAAATTCATTTCAAAATGAATTTTTATTTTACAGAATTTTTAGATATCAAATTTTTATTTGGTAAAATTTTTATTTTGCCAAATTTCTCTTTACATAACTTTTTATTTTTAAAAAATTTTCTAATTCAAGCGAATTCTAAATATAGCACAATTCTCATTTAATAGAATTTTATAAGTGCTCCGAATTTTTAAATGCTAAAATTTCTATTTGTACGAATTATTATTTGATAGAATTTTTAAAATGCCGAATTTTCATTTATCCAAAATTACAAATGACCAAACAAATAATTCGATAGAAAGATTTCTGTGCTATTTTAAAAAATTTACAAATCACGATTTTCTTGATAATTTCTGTTTGGCCAATTTTTTTTAAAATAGCGCCGAATTTTTTCTGTTTTTATATATTCGGTCATTTTCATTTTCGGACAAATGAAAATTCATCGTTTTATATGAAATAAATCAAATAGAAATTCGTGAAAATAAAAATTTAAACAAATGAAGTTTCGGTGAATTAGAAAGTTTGTCATTTCAAAATTCGTATCACTTAAAATTCTGTTGAATGAGAAATATGGGGACGCATGATTATGTTCTAAAAATCATTAGTCATAATTTACATTTTATCGAATTTTATTTGTCCTAATTAGTATTGAGCCGAATTTTTATTTGTTCGAATTAGCATTTGGCATAATTTTCATCAATCTGATTTTCTATATTGCAGAATTTTTATATAACGGAAAATTCAACTCACAGAATTTTTATTTCTTCGAATTTTTATTTCTTCACGGAGAAAAATGGAAAAACGAATAAAGTAACTTTTACTACTTTAAAAGTAAAATTGGACCTGTCCGAAGTTTCTGCGCATCTTTGGCAACTTTTACTCGAAAAATAGTAAAATTTATTATTTCTGTAGTAAATTTTACTGTTTCCGTAGTAATTTTTACTATTTCTGAAGTAAATTTTACTATTTTTGGAGTAAAAGTTGCCAGAGATGCGCAGAAACTTCGGACAGGTCCAATTTTACTTTTAAAGTAGTAAAAGTTACTTTTTCTTTTTTTCCGTGTTCGAATTTTTATTTGTCAGAATTTTTATTTGCTCGAATTTTAATTTGTCAGAATTTTTATTTGCTCGAATTTTCATTTAACATAATAGGCATTTTAAAGAATTTTTATTGGGTAGAATTTCATTGAATAGAATTTTCATTCAGATGAATTTTCATTTGTTCGAATTATTATTTGATATAATTTCCATATAATTGATTTTTCATACTACAGGATTTTTACTCAACCGACAAATCATTTAATAGAATTTCTAATTGATAGAATTTTCATTTGTCCGAATTTTCAAATTTTGTTTGTTTGGCCATTTGAAAATTCGGACAAATGAAAATTCTATCAATTAGAAATTCTATTAAATGATTTGTCGGTTAAGTAAAAATCCTGTAGTATGAAAAATCGATTATATGGAAATTATATCAAATAATAATTCGAACAAATGAAAATTCATCTGAATGAAAATTCTATTCAATGAAATTCTACCCAATAAAAATTCTTTAAAATGCCTATTATGTTAAATGAAAATTCGAGCAAATAAAAATTCGAAGAAATAAAAATTCTGTGAGTTGAATTTTCCGTTATATAAAAATTCTGCAATATAGAAAATCGGATTGATGAAAATTATGCCAAATGCTATTTCGAACAAATTAAAATTCGGCTCAAAACTAATTAGGACAAATAAAATTCGTTAAATTGTAAATTATGACTAATGATTTTTAGAACATAATCATGCGTCCCGAAATATGCTAAATTACACGGAAAAAAATTGAAAAAACGAATAAAGTAACTTTTACTACTTTAAAAATAAAACCGAAGCTATCCACAGTTTCTGCGCATTTCTGGAAATTTTTACACTTTAGAAATAGTAAAATTTACTCCGAAAATAGTAAAAATTATTCCGAAAATAGTAAATTTTACTATTTCTGGAATAAAAATTTCCAGAAATGCACAGAAACTGCGGACAGTTGAGGTTTTACTTTTAAAGTATAGTAAAATTTACTTTATTCGTTTTTCCATTTTTCTCCGGTGTAAAATTCGGTGAAATTAGAATTATTGTTCTAAATAAAAAAAAAAAGTCGGGTAAAAAGAAATTCTGTGAAATAAAAATCGGTGCCTAAAAAAATTTGTTTTAAATAAAAATTCATTTAAATAGAAATTCCTTTAAAGACTAATTTGAAAAATGAAATTTAATCTAAAAAAATTATTTCTTAATGTTATTTTTTCATTTAAAAAAATCAATGAAAATAATTTATTTATATTTTCTATATATATATTTAATTAATATTTATTTATATTTCATTACAGTCGAAAGAGTCATCGTCAGTACTGAGCTGTGACATCTCGACAGACGACAAATACATTGTGACTGGATCTGGTGACAAGAAGGCAACAGTCTACGAAGTGATATACTAATCTTGAGCGACTTGTTAATATCATTATTATTTTGAAGTCTAAGCTTGTTATAAGATATTTATGGAATTAGAATGCGTCGTGTCATATACAAAAAAAAAAAAAAAATTGATTATAAATGACAAAAAAAAAAAAAAAAACGATGAAAGAACGTGAAATTTAATTCTGTGACGAAAATGAGATTCCACAGTATCTGTTTCTATATTTGAAAACTTAATTTCAAATTAATTAATTTTTTTTTTTTGCGAGACTTTCTCGTATTTTTTTTTCCTTCTTTTTTTTTTACTGCAAGCTTCAATTTATTTTTTATTCTGTCAGACGCTGACGGAATCACAGGATCAAACCCGAATTACGGACTGAATTCTCAATTAAGAGAATGAATTTAGAAAAGCAGAGAATTTAACAATTGAAGTTATATTGAGAAAAAAAATTTCTATATATAATATAAATATATATATGGACAAAAGTGTAAGTAGGTGTATAAGTTTGTATAGAAAAAAAAAAACCCTTAAATATAAGTAGAGAGCTGAAAGCGTTAGAGAGAAAAGTGAGAGAAAGAAATTATGTATGAATTTTCTTGTAACATAGAATTTTATTATCTTTTATGTATGACTGCAATGCAACTATATATTATGACTCCGCGTCACAATGAAAGGGATATTATATACATAATATAAATTTTAATGTTCCCACGTAAACAAAAGAAAAAAAAAAAAAAAAAAAAAATTGAAAAGGAAAAAAATTCGATTTTTGAAAATGTGTAACAGAAAATATGAACGAAAAGTGTTCACACTGCTAAATTATTTGTAAAAGTAGAACGATTAATGCGGAAAATTAGCAGCGAGTCATTTTAATGCGTTTTTACGCGATTTCTTATACTGTATGCAGGTGATGATGCGTTCACACAAGAAAAAAAAAAATGAAATAAAGAGCGTTCGACGATTTATCAATTATATATAAATATATATGTATTTTATTTATTATTATATATATATTTATATGTATTTCGCTGACTGACGTCGTTTGTGGTATAGTGCTCGATTAAAATTATAAAGCGTAACGGTGCACTTACAGAGAGGCAAAAGCTCTTTGCGAGATATTTAACGAGATATTTTTGTGACTATCGGTAATAATCTTGCGCTTACATTGGTGGATAAAGAATCGATTTTGTCGACTACCCCGAATTTATATCGACTTTATAGTGATTTTAGTCCGCTGTGCTAAGTAAGGAGCTTGATAGAAAATCCACTCGTAATTTCTCAGTATAAGCTGGAGGGCCTCTTTCATAGGGTATTAGATAACGTGTTATTATTCAAAGCCAGCTATGAGAGAACAGATACAGACAAGGATATTTATATTTTGTTACAGGATACACACAAACATACAATGTCATTGGCTGTGGTTATTGCAAATTCGATTCTTTTTTTTTTTATGGAAAAATTAAGAACATTGAAAATTTTGAGCGATAAAGAAAAATAATCGACTTTGAATTTATCACAGCTTCGATAATAGACCAATAGAAACAACGATACCTCAAAAAAAAAAAAAAAAAAAAACTTCAATAGTTAGTTTATCACTAACAAATAATAAACTGTACAAAGCATTATTCTTTTACAGTAAAAACAAAACAAAAAAATTATATAATTGGATCATTGTTTTGATTTTACATTATATATATATAATATAATATTGCCTCTGCATCATTGGACTGTATCTCCGAGCTCGCCTTTTACATACCCTTTTAATTTCGCATGAGTCGAAGGAAAAAAAAAAAAATATATGTTACGTTTTAATTTTTAAAAAAAGAAAAAAAAAGTATCATTTCCAAGCGCAGTTCATGTTGTTCCTAGCTATACAAAAAAAAAATTGTTTCTTTTGGCAATTAAATCATCTATACATATATATGTGTATATATATACATATATATATTTACAATTCATAATAAAATCTTGATATTTATTTCAATCCTTTACATTATTCCAAATGTCCTCTTTTTTTTATATGTGACAAAGCTCTTTTTATTACTTTTTATTTTATTTCTTTCTTTTTCATATGGAAATTTTTAGACTATAAAAAATTTTTTTTCCTATTTGTATTTTTATATTATAAAAAGTTTACTTTATTTCGAATATTATTTTATAATTTATTATAAATCAATAATTTAATAAAAATCACTGTTTTGTTTATTCGAGTGTTATTGAAAATTTGACATTCATTTTTGAATTTTTAGTATAGTTAATTTTATTTTTATAGTATTTTGTACTTATTTCCATGTTAAATTCAGTAATATAAATTACAGGCCTCGGATTATACTACATTTTCGACTTTTTTCGACTTATTTTAATAAAATGCGACTTTTTCGACTTTTTTTTACATTTTTTTTTTTTTTACAAAATTTTTTAAACAAAAAATACGGTCTTTTAGTATACAATACAGATCTTTTTCAGATCTTCTTTATTTCAATTATTTAACAAATTTTTAACTAAAATTCTTCACTAAATTAATTATTTTTAATAATTTTAATAAAATTCTACACAAATTTAATTATTTTAAACTATTTTTTAATTAAAATTTTTATGAAATTTAATAATTGTTTATAATTTTAAAAAAAAATTAACAAATAAAATTAGCAAAAAATTTTAATTCAAAATCACTTGAAATTTAATTATTTGCAAAAATTTCAATTATTTTTAATGATTTTTATAATATTCCTCGAAAATTCAATTATCTGAAAGCATTTTTTAATTAAAAAATATTCAAATTATTGTATTTTTGTCTGCAATTTCTAATAAATTTTTTAGTGAAATCATCAAAAAATTTTAAATTAAAAATCACTTGAAGTTAAATTAATTTCAAAAATCAAAATTGTAAATCTTTTGAAAATTCAATTACATACTTTTAAAAAATGTTATATAGAAAATTATTTGATAAATTATTTTTAGTTCCGTATTGAAGATAATAATTTAATTATTGTCTGAAAATTAACAAAAATTTTTGAAAAAGAAATTTTATTTAAAAATCTGTAAAACTTGATTATAAATATTGCCTGAAATTTTTTTCAGCATCAAAACTAAAAACTATGATAAAATTTTTAATTCGAATAAATTGCTTCAATTAGATTTGAAAAAATTATACAAATGGAACTTTAAGAATTTTTTTTAGAAATTTGTCCTACTTAAGAAATTTTTTATTACAATTAGTTCGATTCTGAAACATTCGAAATAAATTTTCTTGATAATTTTTTTATAGAATTATTCTCATAACCGAAATAATAAAATAAATTTAATATCTAATAACATTAGTTATTTAAAGTAAAATATTCATTAACCAATTAAATTTTGTTAAAATAAAAAAAATCGACTGTTTCGATTTTTTTTGGTATATGAATCGATTAAAACGACTTTTTTTGTACCTTAAAGTCGATCCAAGGCCTGAAATTATTTAAAAATATTTTGCAGTTCTTTTTTTCTTTAAAAGATTTTCAAATTTTATTTATTACCTATTCTAATTTAGATAATTTAGATTTCAAATACTTTTCTAAGATCAATTCATGAAATATTGTTGAATTAAGAAAGTCGAAAAAAAGTTTCGAAAATTTTAATTGTTCATATCAAATACAATTGAAAATCTTCAATTATTTAATCGTAATTAGAAATATCTTGAAATATTTAAGGGAAGGCATTAGTAAAAATTTATTTGATTTAAATAATCGGTTACTTGACTATTATAAAATAAATATTTATTTGTATCAAATAATTATTATTTGAGATGGTATTTCTTTCAAATACATAAATTATTGATTCAAATACAATTTATTTAATTCAAACAAAAATTATTTGACTTAAGTAAATATTTATTTTGATAATAGTCAAGTAATCGAGTATTTAAATCAAATAAAATTTTTTTTCAGTGTATCTTAAGATAATGAATCAAATAATTGAATAATTTAATAAATTAAATAATAATAATAATAATTAAATTTTTTTTTAAAAAGTTAATAAAAAAATCGTAATTATCTTCAAATAATTAAATAAAAAAGTCAATTTATAAAATATTGAGTTAAATTTTTTTTAAAAACTATAGAATAATTCTTGTCAACATTTAAAGACAGAAAATTTTTTCAATAAACAAATAGATCAAAAATAAATTTTTCAAAACTTATTCCAAACTAAATTTTTTTCTGTTACAGTAATTAATAATTTGTAATTATTAATTTTCTGAGGAAAAAATCTTGTCATATAAAAAGAAATATAATTGGGTTACATAATTATAATGAATTAATAATAATAATTGTAATTTCTGATAAAATCCTAGTATTTGTTAATCATTTCTTTCAAAGAAAAGAAGAAATGTTCTTATATATCTAAAGAAGCGCTGATATTCAATTCTAAGAATTAAATAGTATCGACATCTTTTGATATAATGAAGAAACTATTATTCACTATTTACCAAAATTGACAGATATAAAAGCGCTGATGTCTAATTCTCAATTGGAGTGTGCTGCCATCTTCTGACAGAAGAAAAACTATTTTTCTAATATGGCGGCTAGACTGAGAGACGCTTGAGAAATGCTCCAAGACATACATTGTTTGTTGTACGTGTTCTTTAGTTGTTTACATTTCTGTACATAAGTCTTTTTCAAAATGAATATGGCAGTAGAGAAAAAAAAATTCCCATCGGCATTACCAACAAATTGGCCAACGAGGGACGAGCCACCAAGAAAAATTCAAAGTCAAAGTCAAAATCAGAATCAGAATCAATTGACATCGACAGGGAAGGTTGACGTTTATTACTACAGGTACAATTTTATTAATTAATTTAAATTAATTATTCATTCTTTTTTTTTTAAAAAACTTCCTTTTTCTCATTTTAAAGAAAATAAAAAAAAAATAGTAATTTTATAAATATATAAATAAATTGATTTTTTCAATTAGAGAATTATTTGGGATTTAAATATAGTGGTAAATAGAAATTTTATATCTTTTGCAAGTGAAGAAAAAAATTAGCATATTATGCAAAATTAGAAAGTTCATTTAAATTGTGGAGATTTAAAAAGAACAGAATTTATTTTTTCTTTTTTTTAATTTTTGATCTCATTGATCTTTACTTTTTCATAGACGAGGGGTAATAAATGATGCCTCATTAGTACCACCAATAAGGCAAACGGCGTCTATTTTTAAGCAGCCAGTAACAATTTATAAAACACAAGAAGGAAAAGTTAAAGATATGAAACATGGGATTCAAGAGAAACCTAAACAGGTTAGTAAGTTTATGATTATTTAAATATTATAATTTAATGGGTCAAAATTTCTCAAAACCAATCATAGTAATTTTTAATCAAAAATGCTGATTTCTTTATAAACTTTTTTTTTAATAAGCTATATAAAATTAGAAAAATAATATTTCCTTAAAAATTGTTAATCTGTTTTAAGAAATTTTGACTGTACATTCTTTTTTTAAATTTCTAAATTTTATAACACTTTTAAAACTTGTGCACAATATATCTCTTTATATTTTAATTTCTTACATTCTTCTTTATTTTTTACTTCTTGCACTTTTATAATGAGGACACAATTTTTGAATGGCCTATTACTAAAAAGACACACATTTTTTGTCCCCCTTATTTTGTTTTCTTTTTATAATTTTTACATTCTCATCAAGTATTGAGAAAGTATTGAAATTTTTTATTTCATTTTTCAAATTTGTATGCAATTAGAATTGAAAATTTTTTTTGATATTCTTGTTGTTGCACATGATACAAATATCCAATCGTTCCTTTAGGAAGGAGCCGAAAAAACTGACAGCAAAAATGGCTCCCAAGATAAACCCAAGCAGGTAATTTCATTTACCACACTGTCATAATTTTATTTAAATGTTATTTTGCACTATGTCTCTCTCTCTCTCTCTTTTTCTTTTATTTTTCGTTTTCTTTCCGCAGTGTTATTTTTTTAATTTGCTTCATGAATTTTCGAATTATTTCATTGCCTTTCTAAATCCATATTAATTTATTGCACGTGTTACCCGACAAAAATAATTATAATTTTTGGAAATTCAAGATATGAAGAAAATAATCTTTATTATCTATAAAGAGTTAAGTATTATATACGACGAAAGTATTTAATGGAGAATTTTTTTTTTAATAGGAGAAAAAGATTTTTAATATTTGTAAATTTTTTTTCAGCTATTCTGGGAGAAACGACTCGAAGGACTGAGAGCATGTGATCCTGATGGCTATGAATTCGACGTTATGGATTTGCCAAAATCTTTAAGACCTGTGGGACCTTATATTACCGAGGAAACATTATTACAAAGTGTTGCAACTGCATTACATGTTTCTTCGCAACCCGTCACAGGACAAACAGGTCCCAAAACATCTTTAGAAAAAAATCCAGGAGTTTTTCTCAACCCCGAACAGCCGCTCGTTCAGGTAGCGATTCAAGTTTTCAATTAAGTGGCACGTAATTTTTAATTTTTATTTTAAAATCAGATTTTTTTTGAAAGGGAAATCTTATTCAATAGTGTGCACTTGGTAAATTTTTTTTAACAGTTGATTATTCAACTAAGCTTGAAAAAAATGTATTTTAATAATAAATATTTTCTTTACAAAGGCTGTATCGATAGCAGACGAAGATATTAAGAGACAAGAAGACCGCGTGGCTGTTGCGAGGAGAAAATTAGAAGAAGCACTACGAGGTACAACGATATAATTTTAGCCATATTTTTATTAACGTCGTTTTGCGGATCTTACTCCTAAGTGTATTGTATAATATATTGTAAGTTATTGGATAACTTTGTAATAAATGTTTTTATATAAAAAGAAAAAATTGAATTCTTTATTTATAAATTTCAAAGAATTGCCAATTTAGAAGAGAAGAAAACATTTATGGATAAGTATATATATATATATATAATCTAAAGAGAAAGCTTGTTCATTGTCATATATTGTAACCCGAGGAATATAGAGGAAGTTTTTCAAGGTTATTTCGCGATGGTTCACGAATACGAAAACATGGGATTCCAATGTTAAGTCAAGTTAAATGGTCATGGAATTATTGTAGTCGAACTCCCGACCGGAAACGAGGGTGCGGAAAGTAACCGCATGAGCCAAAAGAAAAACGATCTATTTTATTCTTTCTTTGCTTAAACATTATATAATATATTCCACACGAATGTTGCTTTCCATTTTTTCTGATCGTAAAATGAGAAAATAAATTCAAAGAATCTATGTAAATTTATGAAGTGAAGAACTAATTCACCAAACATTCAAAAAATGGAACAAACTCAATAAGAAATAAAGTACTTTTTAGTGGTTTAACATTTTTACAAGTAGAATTCCTTAAAATAGAGAAAATTTGTCTATTGGGTGAAAATTCACGTTAATTATTTTTCAATATGTAAATTATTTTAATTAATATTTAAATTGATTAAATAGAATTTTAATAAATTGAATAAAAATTATTTTCAGTAGACTAAATTAGCCATTTTCGTGTGTGTGTGTATATAACGGCCAGTAAAGAAATGCGCGCGCACAAACGTAGAAGTATTCTTCTTCTTGTTGATAATATTTTTCTTATTATTTATAATTAAGAGCATTCTAATCGAAAGAAATATATTGCAAAAATGCATTTATTGAGAGTTATAAAATATTAAAATGCAATAAAAAAGATATACTGTTAAAATTTGAGGTTATATTTGTGTATTTTTTAATTCTTCACAGAAAATGCATTTCGGTTCCATCATTCATGGATTTTTTTCAAATTTGGTGCATTTTATTCAGTTTATACTATTAAAGACGACAATCACAAAAAAAATCAAGAAAATTGTTATTATTTAATAATAAATAATAATAAAATTTTGAATTTTGAAAATATGTGTTTTTTAACCTTCTACTGAAAAAGTTATCGAGGGAATTTTCATTCTGGAAAAACTTCTCGCGACAAAGTTTTTCCTTACACATTAAAGAAGTTTTTCCAAAAGTTTGGAATTAATTTTATAAAAAATAAAGAAGTTATAAGGAAAATAGTGAAAAACTATTTTTCCTTATAATGCAGCAGTAGCCATGACACCTCACGGCTTAGTTTCGTTTCTTATTATATAATTCGCCCTTATTATTTTTCTTTTTTCAAAATGTATAAATACTGATTTCAAATATAAATATAATTCTTAATAAGTATATTGGACATATGTTTGTTTATTAACAAAAATAGAATACAAAAAATATATTTTTTATAACAAATAAATATAATTATTTTTGCATGATCGAGTGTAGGGTGAATTATATAATAAGAACGCCCCTGCAGAAACTAAGCCGTGAGGTGTTATGGCTACTGCTGCAGTAGAAGGAAAAATAGTTTTTCACTATTTTCCTTATAACTTCTTTATTTTTTTATAAAATTAATTCCAAACTTTTGGAAAAACTTCTTTAATGTGTAAGGAAAAACTTTGTCGCGAGAAGTTTTTCCAGAATGAAAATTCCCTCGATAATTTTTTCAGTAGAAGAGGTTAAAAAACACATATTTTCAAAATTAAAACTTTATTATTATTTAATATTAAATAATAACAATTTTCTTGATTTTTTTTATGATTGTCGTCTTTAATAGTATAAACTGAATAAAATGCACCAAATTTCAAAAAAATCCATAAATATTTGGCAAAATTACGACGAGTTATGTTTTAAAAGTCCATTAAATTATCGTAAAAAAAATTTCTACTTTTTTGCCCTTATTAATTTTAATATTCGTTTTATAAAAAAATCTCAAAGGAAAAAAAGATGCGATTTTTCGTTTCTTACAGGATAGCCTTTTTAAAAAATTTGAATTTTGAATTTTATTTTTTTTCATTTTTGGACCACCTGACTAGTTGCAAGGCGGCTGCCACAAGCGTAGGTCCCCCTATAGAATCGGAGTCCTCAATTTATTAAAATTTCTATATAAGAAAAAGTTATTTCAAAAAATACAAAAAAAATGATTTAATCTATAGATTTCAATAAAATATGAATTTATATAGGTTAATCGACTCATTTTAATGCAAGAACTAAGTTTTTTTTACTAATCAAAATGAAATTTACAAAGAAAAAAATATTTTAAAATAAGAAATTTTTTTTCAAATTTTGAAAAAATTGTAAAAAATAAAATGCGAATATATTCGGAAATTCTTGTGTCAGATTTTAGGTATTAATGATTACAATAAGCATACAAAATTTCAGGACAATCCGTTAAAATGTTTCTGAGATAATTTGTACACAATATTTTGTGACATACACACACACCTGGACATTTGCTCAGGACTTTATATATATTAATTCTAGATGAAAATGAGTCCATATAACCCAATTTTAAAAAATCGAAAATCGTCACGAATGCAAAGCTTCCTCATGAGGAAGCAAAAAGGACTATTGTATATTTAAATTCTTAAGAATTAATATTGAAATAAAAAATATTAAACTGAACATTTTAGATACATTTCCCCTCAATAAAGGTTTTTTTTTACAAATAAAAATTACTATAGCCCACACTATAACTCTCTCTCTTATCAAACTTCGTCTGTATATAATCAAAAACTTGAAATTCCATTCAAAAAAAAAAAAAATCTTTACCAGAAAATATTGTTCCTTCAATCATTCCATAAAGATTATATATAATTAACTGACAAACTATTTTCTCCAGTGCATTTAAACTGTATACATATATATATTCTAGAATAGAAAGAAAAAAAAATGTATACATAATTTCTTTTGAATGAATCGTGAGTAAAATCGATTCTGCACGCGACCTGAAAATCCTTAGTCGCAAACACGTAACAATATTTGAATCAGTAAAAACCGACCTCTCTCAATGATAAAACGAAGAGGGATAAGATTTATATTATAGAAGAAATCGAGATTTTTTTTTCGAAGAATATAAAAAATAATTTCCAAAAGAGTTTCTCGCACACGACAAGTAGCTTTAATACTCTCTATGTAGTTTATTCGTCTCGTGTGTAAATAGGTGCGTGTTGAACTCTCTGACAAAAGAATGCTCAGGTAGGTAGGTACTTGGCCGGTTTCAGGTAAAACGTAAGCCAGGTGGTAGACTCTCTCTCGCTCGCTCTCTTTTCTCTCCTTCTCTCTCTTACCCTTGCCGCGAGAGACTTATTTTTTTTTCTCTTCATCGACCAACAGCTGTTTCCCTGCACTCGCTTATAAAAGGGAACTCTCCCTCATTGTCAACTATATACATATATATATATACTAGCCAGGGCCCCGAGTTTCTCGCCCTTTCGCGCGCACATGCCCTACTTTAAATCGTTATATCTTTTCATGTCTCGTAACATGTGACTGTCGATAAAATCGTCACTAGTGCGTAAACAGCTTATTCCCAATTGCACTTTACTGACTTTACTCGAATAATAAAATTGAGAACTTTATATATATATATATATATATATATATATATATATATATATATAAATAATAGTGTTTGACTGTACTGAGAAAAAAAGTTATTTGAAACAACCAAAGTATGGCTAAATCAACTAAATATACTTATATAATCAAATATTTGGTTAAATCCTCCGTTAAACCAAATTATTCAATTGTATTTGATTCTGTATTTATTCAATTTGAATTAACCAGTTATTGAATTAAATTAATTTTTTCGTTCTTCTAAACAAATATTTGGTTGGTTGTAAAAAACTTAAAGCTGTATTCATTATACAGACGGAGAATTTTGATCGTGACATCTTTTTTAATCGAATAACACAAAAATCCTTAAAATGTAACTCAATTTTCGATTTCTGGTCGTCGATATGAACGCCAAATTTTTTGACTGACTCCCTATAGACCTCGGATTAAGACGTCAGGTCAAAAAATACAACTAAATTTTTTGTAATAAAATTTTTCCAATAAATTAAATTATTTACCTTAATGACAAATTTTCAGCTTCAAGGAGATTATTTCAAACTAAATAGCCCCTCGGAGATCCCTACTTTCAAGTTAAATTTCCATTTGGAAAATGTGAAAAATAACCGTCAAAATAGACCGAGTTCTAAAAAGTCGGAATATAAAGAATTCTGTGTCCTTTAAGGTACCCTTTTGTTTTCCTTTTGCCCTTATCTTTGAAAGTACGTGACACCACAAGCCATCGAGGATAGAATCTGCAAAAAGAAAAATTAAAATACTGTCAGCACTGCAGTAACATGTAGTTAAATCTTGAACCGGTCGGTAAAATAGAAAGCTATTAAAAAATTTCATTTCCAAATTTGAGAAAAATTAGTGTGGCATCGAGACTAAACCTAAAGTAATTGAATAACACAAAAATTTGTCTGACTGACTCCCTAGATTTTGGAGTAAAATGTTGTCACGTTAAAATTTATTTTATTTCAAAATGCATTTATTTGCCTCAAATAAAATGTTATTTGCCTCAAATAAAATGTATATTTACCTTAGAACCTAATAACTTTTTATTTGTTTCATACAACATTTTTATTTAGAACAAATGAAATTTTATATAGTGCAAATAAAATTTTTTATTTAAACCAAATAAAATTTATTTCGCTGTAAGACAATAAAATGTTGTAGAGAACTAAAAAAAAAATATTATTTTGTTTTAAGTTCTCCACAAAATTTTAGCTTAATCTCTCAAACAATTTTGCGAGAAAATCTACAAAGAATATTTACATGTGATTTACCAAACATAACCTTAAACTAAAAACGCCCTTACCACAGAAAATAAAACAATAGTACTCTCTAACTTTGAATTAGTAGGAATTTTTACTAATTTTTAGTAAAATATTACTATTTGACTTAGTAATATTTATTTTTAGTTTTAGTGAAAAATTAATAGGA